TCATTTGGCACGGGAAGGAGAGAAAACGCTCTTCTAAAAATGGAAGAGAGGACAGACACAGAACAGCTTGTCCCTTTCCATCCAATTAAAAGCTTCGTGAGACTGAACTAGATTAAAAACAAAACTCTCCAGCTAAGCCGCAGGCCTCCAAGATAGGCAGTCCCCTACCCAGAGAGTACAGCGGATGCCAGCAGCCCTGTCCCTAAGCGGACCGTCCATCCCCGGTAAAGCGCCGCCCCGGAGGCCCGAGGCCGGGGTGGGGGTGTGCGGGGACACACGGAAGCGTCTGGCACGCCGAAGGTGACACAGCGGCTGCCGGGGAAGTGCGGGGCAGGCAGGGTCCCCGACGAGGGGGGAGGCGCAGGACACCTCCCCGGCGCCGGGAGAGCGAGAATCGCGGGCTGGCACGGCCTGGCAGCCGAGTAGGCCCGGGCCGGGAGTGGCACCGGAGGGCGGTGCCCGGTGTCCAGTGCGACGAGAGCGGGCCGCGGTACCCCTCCTGGCGAGAACCCCTCCCCCGCCACGGGCACTGACCTGTCCAGGGCCCGGCTGGGCCTGGCCGGGCGGGGCCTACGCAACCCCTCGGCCGGGCGCCGCCTCGCGCGGGGTCCCGGGCCCGGGCGGGCCGCCTCCTCTCCGCCGCGAGCCTCCGAGCCGGGGCCCGGGGCTGCCGCGGCGCATCCGACCGTACCGGCCGGGCCGGCGTCCACAAAGGGCGGCGGGGGCGCGAGGCCGGGGCGGGGGTGCGAGCGGCGGCGGATTGCGCGCGCGCGGCGGGCGCTCGAGGGCTGCAGCCGCCGCGGAGACAATGCGGCGCGTCCCGGCAGGGATCCCGCGGCCGCCTCCGCCGGGGGCGGGGCGAGGCGGGGGCGGGGCATGGGCGCGCGGGCGGGGCCTCAGGGAGGCGGGGCGCCGGCGCGGAAGCCGGGCCGCGCGCTTCCTTTGTGCGGCCGCGCCGGCCCCGCCCCGCGCCCTCCGGAAGGCGCAGGGCGGGGCTGGCGGCCGGTTAGGTACGTAAGGGTTCTGTTTAAGGAGACGGGCGCCGCGCCACACCAATGTCCGCTCTCGCCCCGTCAAAAGTCCCCCGTGCGGTGGTGGACTCCCGCTTGGCCAAGTCGGAGGCAGGAAGAATAACGACTAGCAGTAATTGAGTGCTGAATATGTGTCAAGCCGTACATGCACGCACTTCCTCTCAGTGTTCACAATAGCCCCACAAGTAGTTGTTATCCTCCCCACTGGGAACTGAGGATCAGAGAAGTTAAGTAATGACCAAAGTGACCCAGTTGCACCTCCATAAACGGGGCTAATGCCTCCTCTTTAGGTTTACTGTGCAGGCTAACTGAGGGCATTTATACAAATTGCCTGCAGTGCCCGGCACACAGTTGGAGCCCAATAAATGTTACTTCTCTTCCTAAACCACGCTGGATTAAACTGAATTGTCGGGAAAGCACCTTCATTCAGTAGATATACTAGAGCTTGTGAGACTCACAAGTCTCACTGCACCCCCATCCCCCAGGCTTTATGCTGAATACTTGCCCCGAATTTCTCTCTCCATGCTTGACTTCTATTTCCAACATTTTCTCATATTCTTACCTTTCTTAGCATTCATATCACCAACCCTTTCCCCTCAGGCCTCATCCCTTTACCTTTGTTTCCACATTTTACATTTATTTTATATTCCCTGATCGTTTAGTTTGCTCCCTTTCTCTTTCCCTCGTTCTCCCCACCCCATTTTTCAAATTTTCAAAGCCTTCTTTCATTAATATGCACATTTCCTCCCCCTTTCTGCCTTTGCATTTCTTACACTTACATTTTGTTCTATGAATGCTCGGCCTCTCTGTCCCCCAAACATGCCTACACTCCTGCCTCCCTTCCTTTACTTCATTAGTCCCTTCTCCCCACTGCCACATGTCCAGGTCCTACCTATCCATCATGGTCTAGACTCAAGAACAGTGGCTGGCAAACTTTTGTAAAAGACCAGATAGTAAATATTTTAGACTTGGCAGGCCATGTGGTCTCTGTTGCAACTACTCAACTCTGCTGTTGCAGCAGGAAAGCAGCCACAGACGACACTACATGAATGAATGTGGCTGTGTGCCAATAAAACTTTATTTATGGACACAGAAATTCGGATTTCGTATAATTTTCTTGTATCACAAAATATTCTTCTTTTTTTGAGTCTTAAAAAAATTTTTTTTAATGTAAAAGCCATTATTAGCTTGCAGGCTGTACAGAAACTGGTGATGTGATGAATTTGGCCCTCGGGATGTAGTTTGCCAACCCTCGCTCTAGAACAATGCCACTTCCTCCGTGCAATCTATCCTGATAATCTCTACTCAGCAGTAACTTTTCTCTCTTACCTTTTAAAGCATTTACCCATAATCGTTCTATGCCATTTATCATATCTTAGTTTTTACTGTATTTTTTTCCTGTGCACTTCTCATCTTTCCCAGAGGACTTTAAGCTCCTTGAAGGTAGGGTACAGACCTTATTTCTCTATGCATTTATTACCTCCCACCCCACAGTACTTTGCACAGAGCAGGCATTCAAACATATACAGAATGAATATTTAAATCTTGGGAGGTTGACAATTGTTTCCACTGTGCAAAACTTACTTTTCTCATGAGATAGAACCTCAGGAGCAAGATGCTTTGTTATATGTGTATCATCTAGATTAGATTTCAGAAAGAGATTTTTGAGAGCTTTCTAGACAAGATGAAGAAAGGGAGGCAAATGTCAGTTCATTCAGAGGTTGTTGGATAACAAATACTTGAACAAAGGCTGTTGATTATCACCAACCTGCAGACAGGGGATGTGTCTTCAGTCAGGTCCTATTCAATATTTCTATCAGCAGATTGGTTAAAGACAAAGAAAACACGCTATATAATTTACAGATGGCAAAGTTAAGCAGAGGAGTTAGTATAATGAGTGACAAAATTCAGATATAAAACATTCCTGCCCCACCACTTATTCTTGCTGTGCCTCAGTTTTCTTATCTTTAAAATGGGCATGATAAAAGTTCCTGCTTCAGAGGGTTACTGTCAGGATTAAATGAGGAAATGCATGTAAAGCTGGTAGAGAGGACTCATTAAATGTTAGCTGTTAACTATTACCATTTTCTGGCTAGCCTGGAACTGTGGGCTAAATTCACAAGATAACGTTTAACAGATATAATTAATCATGTTTTGGCTCACAATATAAATTGTACAAGTTTGAGATGGAGGAGACCTGAAGTGATAGCAATCCATGTAAAAAGAAACCACAAAAACAAAGACAGAAACAAAAACCAAACCCAACCCCTCTGGAATTCAGGTGACACAGTGCTCGGTGAACTAAGGGTATCATTCCCCTGGGTCAGGGGAGTTAACGTGGGGCCATAGGTGCAATGTCCTGCTGAAGGAAGGTAAGGGAATTACCCCTGGAGCCAGAATCATGGTGCTGCCCTTTCATAGGTGTGTGAACTGGAGCCTCTTCAAGCTTTTGTTTCCTCCTCTAAATAATGGGGACAATAATATTTATCTCTCAGGGTTATCATGAATGAGTAAAGGAAAACTTAGAGCAGAACTTGGCACATAGGTGTTCAACGAATTTTAGTTCCTCTCTACTATACCATGCAGATCTCTGTCCCTTGAAGGGCTTATAAAGCTAAGTCTAGGTGCCAACCTAGGGTGACTAGCGGCTTTTTGTATTTGGAATTAATGTGCTTCATTTTGGGGATCACATTTTAAGGGAATTAGTGGAGAGGTAGAATGTAGCTAGACAAGAATGATCAGCATGGTGGGAATGGGAGGTCTGGATGCGTGATAGGTAGAAAAGGAAATAAATCTCAGATATTTAGCCTGGAGATTTTCTCTTTTTTTAATGGGGGAGAGGAAAGAGACATGATAACTGTCTATACACACTGTAGGAGATGGACAATCCACAAGACAGAATCACAGCCAGTGGTGGGAGTTCCACGAGAGCAGATTTTGGCTTAATTTGAAGAGCAACTTTCTGATAATTAGAGCAATCCTACAATGGAATGGGCTGCTTTTCAAAATGGTGAGCTCCTTATCATTGCAAGTTTGCCAAGAGAATGCTGACCTCCTTGCTGTCTCTTAATTTTTCTAATGTTTTTTTTCTTCATATTCGTTTGCTTTCCTTTTCCTTGAGTCCATCCTCCATTCCTTATAGGACATTTATAACTACTTTGTCCCCAAGTACTTTTCTTCTCATTCCTCCTTCTTCTGTTTTCCAAACCCCTTTTCTCTTGGCTCTCCCCACCCCACTCCCAGCACACATTTAGTCCAATGATGGAACTGCCTCCCTGAGTTGTAGGCAGCCCATGGCCCAGAATGTCTCTGAGATCTGGGCCAAGATTGCTGTGCACACTGGCAGAGAAGGAAAGGAAAGCGAAGGGATCACTGTGGAGGCAGAGGTACTGCTGTGATTCTCTCGTCAGGGTAGAGGGATCAGCAGAGTCTCCTAAAACCCAGGTCTAGGAGAAGCCCGCCTGTCCCTGAGCACTCACAGACAGAAGGTGGGGATCCCAGAGCTGAGCACCGTTCCTTCAAAGATGCTTTCCGTGAGCTGAATCCCCTCCTAGCTCCCCCTAAGCATTTCCCTCATCTCTGCACTATGCAGCCACCTTGTCATATTGCCAAATTCAAGAACACACTCTCATACCAAGCAGAGCAGAGGATTGAGACAACTGGATCCCTGGGTGAACTCTCAACCCGGCATACGCATATGCAGGTACATCTGACAGCAATGACAGACAAGCCTCATCTAGAACTTTCAATTCTCCTTTTCTTTCTCCTTTATGCCTTCTGGGTCCCCTTTCTTTGTCCTTGTGTCATCTTCTCAACCCTCTCTCTGTTTCCACCTACCCAGCTTCTTTCTTGCTTCTTGGGGCTTGGAGTAGTTTCCCTCCCATTCTAGATGCCCAAGTGAGATGTGCCAGGGGGTGGCAAGGAAGACAATGCTCTCCCCTCCCCCGAGGGCCCCGCTACACTTCATACCATGAGCTGGGGACTGCTGGATGTTCGGGCTCTTGGGTACAGGCAGGCCACCTGGCATGGCAGTGACGACGGCTTGCTGATGCGGTGGTGGGCCAGACCGAGTCTCAGGCCCACTCTTCTCTCTAGGTACCACTTCCTTCCAGTCATCGGGGGTGCACTGCTGGGGCTGTTAAAGGACAGGACAGAGATGATCTTCTCGTGAATTGCCTCTACATTCCTGGACACGTCCCCCGTTTCCATGGAGCTTGGGTAGAAGGCAAGGACATTAAGATTCAGCTAGCCCCAAATTAGGGAGAGGCCCCTTTTCTTTCCTGGACTACTCAGAGAGGACTTCAACACTCAGCCCACCCAGACACACATCCAAATGGGGGCCATGGGATTGCCTGAGCCGTGTCCTCCCGCTTTGTTCCCTGGACCTCGGGCTCGGCTTACTCACCACTGGCGAAGCAGGTTGCAGTTGTAAGATGACAGCCGAGGCATGCTGGAACCTGTGTTGAGGGGTGTGAGACAGGCCCTCAGGGTATCCATTGTGAGGCTCGACATCTGGCGTGGGAGGGTGGCACTGCTGAGTGCTGCCAGGCTTGTGCAGGTTGGCAGCGGGACACTGGAGAGGCAGGGTGGATGGGACTGGGCCTAGCGGCATGGCATGGGCTTCGGGGCCGGGCTGCAGGGCCAGGCTTGGAGGGACCGAGGCCAGCTGGGGGTGGGACGGGGCTTGGAGCGCTGGCCGTGATGGCTGGGGCGTCGGCGGCTGTTGTGATGCTTGCTGTTGCTGCTGCTGGATCCCAAACTGGGGCTGCAGGTGCTTTGAGGACGGCTGGGAGAGGAGCTGGTGTGGCTGCAGCTGAGCATAGGCTGAAGAGGGGGAGGCCAGGTTAGGTGGCATGGCTCGGTCTCACCTTCTGCTGTGCCCCCTCCCACATCCACATAAAGAAGTCTTTCCAAACTCGGTGTTCTTGCTTTCATCTCTTTCCTCTTTCCCCTAGAGCCTGGCCGGACCATTGCCATGGCCTGGCCTTCTCTCTCTGTTTTCTTGCTTTCTTCCTATGCCGAAACATTGGGCCCTTGGCTGTCCCTCAAAGGCCAATGCAAAGCTCACCTCCTCTGTGAAGCCTTCTTTGATCATTCCAGCGGCTGAGAGAAACACTGGATTCTGCAGTGTGCTATGTTCTCTCTCCTCCACGCCCTTCACTCGCTTTTCTCTGGGCCTGCGACAGGTGCAGGCTCCCATCGCCCAGCCCAGCTCTGTAAGGCTGGATCTTATTCACCCTACTGCTGCTCAGTCTGGGCCCCTTCCAGGGAGTGCCAGTTGCACACACGGTCCTCAGGCTCTGTGGGGAGGCAGCCTTGGATGGACCACTGGTTCCTTCTGTTACCCAGTGGGGGACCTTGGGCTAGCTGCTTAACCTCTCTAGGCCTCAGCTGCCTTGTCTGAGAACCAGAAACAAAAATAGTTCTTGCCCAGAAAGTTGTAAGGATGAAAGAAGAAAAATGCTGTGCGAATAAAACGAGAGAAAAATGACATAATGTGCACAGCACAGTGCCTGGCCCATGGCCATCGTCAGCCATTTAATTCATATATTCAATCAGATAAGTAAAATGATTATTTCAGCCTTGGCTTAGGTTCTGAGTATCCTGGGCTCACCTCTACCATAATGACGCGTCTCGCAATGGATTATAATTGTTTCTTGGCTGTCTTCCCTTCCAGATCGTGAACCCCTCGTGATCAGAAACGATCACATATCTCTTTATCCAGAACCTTGCATGATGCCTAATATTAGATGGGGGCTAAAAAAACAAACAAACAAAGAGGGCTTTCCTGGTGGCGCAGTGGTTGAGAGCCCGCCTGCCGATGCAGGGGACACGGGTTCGTGCCCCGGTCCGGGAGGATCCCACATGCTACAGAGCGTCTGGGCCCGTGAGCCATGGCCGCTGAGCCTGTGCATCCGGAGCCTGTGCTCCGCAACGGGAGAGGCCACAGCAGTGAGAGGCCCTCGTACCGCAAAAAAAAAAAAAAAAAAAAAAAATTATAATAAATAAATAAATAAACAAACATATTGTCCTGAACTGGAATTCATGTGTTGCCATTTGCTGCTTGTCCTCTCTTCTTCCATTTTAACCAGGCTAGCTTTTTGAGGTGAGGATCCTTATACTTTTTAGTTATCATCCTGTGTCCAGCTCATGCCTTATAGACAGAAGGGGCTCAGGAAATTCAGCTCAGAGACTGACTGTCCTCAAGCTGCTCACTCTCTGCCTAGTGGCATCCAGGCCCGCTTAGCACGAGGGCTGCTCAGCTGAATCTGTCCTGCCTAAAAGCTGTCCTCTGCGGGGACTCCCACAGCTGGAGGGCCGGCAGAGAGACGTTGTGCCATGCAAAAGCAGAGAGGGCCACAGCTGGAAGCTCACAAATGGATTTTTACAACCAAAGGCTCCCAGCCAATGAGGGGAATGCAAATTCTGGGTCCTGAGCTAACATTTAAAAAGGATCCTGTGACACAGGTGCAAAGTAAGCAGATTTCAAACAGAGTTAGGGGAGGTACCTTTTTTCTTGAATTCTGTCCATTTACAAGCAAGTTTCCAACTATCTCATCACAACCCAACACAGAGATCCAAGCAGAATGCCAATAAGAATGGAAAGGAGAGGACAGAAACGAGGTGGTAAGGAGAAACAAAATGCTCCTTGGTGACTGACTGCTGTAGGCAGAGGAGGGAGTATGGTTGGCCCACGGGCTGTAACCTGGATGACAGGGAAAGATGGGAGGGGGAAACACGGACGGCCATGAGGTTTTGAGAGAAATGTGTGGGGCTTGAGGTGATGGTAGAATGTCCAAATAGGAATTACCTGCAGGCATTTGGTGATTACGAATCGCCCCTGACCTCACCCTGAGCCTTGTCCCCTAATTTCACCTTGAATAGCTCAAACTTAACAATCAGGCCAAGATTGTTAGTCAGGCAAACTTAATAATCAGGGATTTTTAAGATGACCGTTGTTAGGACACTGGAGAGATACCGCAGATGCCATGAAGTGCCTGGCTAGTCTCTAGAGGCTAAAAAGTTCTGCAGAATGATGGGCAGCGTCACTGAAGACACAAGTAAAACTTGTTCTCCCTTATTACAAAACCATGAATTCCTGCCGGGGGAACAGAGTCCCTCTAGGGGCTGCCGGTCTGAGCTGAGAGCTGGAGATGGTGTGGCTCAGAGAGGCTAGGAGAGTTAGAGGCTTGTCCCGCTATCCACTGGCTGTGTGGCCTGAGATGGGTCCTTTTCCTTCCCAGGGCTTCGGGGTTTTAACTGTGAGACAAGAGGTTTGGACTAGCGATTATACAATCTGATGGGGGTGGCTACCACAGGAAAAGAGTTTAAAATTCAGGATTTATAAGGTGGAAAAGGGAAGGTTAGAGAAGAAGGGTCTAGATCTATAGAGCATAAAGAGTGTAGTTAAGTGCAGTGCACCTTTGTTTACCAAGATTGGGAGAGGCAACTGTTGGCTTCGCGGCCCTCGATCCTGGGGCATCCTCTCTGTCCCACTCTCTCCCCGACCCCGTGCTGCATGTGGAAACCCTAAGGCCATTGTTTTAGAACAAATGATGCTAGTATATGGCAAGGCTGGAAACAAAGTTCATGATGGCTTCGATAAGTGCATAGATCAAAGACCCCAGGGTATTTTGAGGGGAGTGTACATCCTTAACCTTTCAAGGTTAATAAAAAGCCAAGACCATGAATTAACTCAAACATTATCCTGGGTCTAATTCCTTTCATTTAAAGTGTTGTTAATAGCTTCCTAATTGGTCTGATTCCTGTTTCTTCTCTCTATAATCCACCTTGTAGATAGATCACAAATTAATCTTCCTAGTGCACAGATCTGATCCCTGATTAAAAGCCATCAGGGACTCTCCTTTATCTGAGGTTACCTAAAGATCCTGACATTCAAGATCTTCTTACAACATAAACTAACCTTTCAATTTTTATTATTTCTTTGATCCAAGCAATCTTTTCTGTCCACTGTCCCCTGTACGGAAGTTTGTGCCTTGTCTCATACTGTCTAGAGTGCCATAAATCAAATTCTCATCGTCCCTGTCCTCCTGTGGGAGGCTGGGCAAGTCACTGGACCTCCCTGAACCTCTGTGCCATCATCTTTAAAGTGGGAGTAACGATGATACCTATACCTCATAGTTATCTCAGTAAATGACTTATCTCCCCTTGATAGGCAGAATTTAGGATTTGTTTCCTCCAAAGTGCCTGGAATTTAGTAGATGCTCAATCAGTATTGCTGAATGAATGAATGACAACATGGTGGGACTCCAGCTTGTTTGTCCCGCAGAACTTTTCCTCTTCAGAGTCAGAATATGGACGAAATGTGGGTAACCCCACAGGCCATTTTGTTTTTTTGTTTTTTTTGTGGTACGCGGGCCTCTCACTGTTGTGGCCTCTCCCGTTGCGGAGCACAGGCTCCGAACGCGCAGGCTCAGTGGCCACGGCTCACGGGCCTAGCTCCTCCGCGGCATGTGAGATCTTCCCGGACCGGGGCACGAACCCGCGTTCCCTGCACCGGCAGGCGGACCCCCAACCACTGCGCCACCAGGGAAGCCTGGCCATTTTGGGTTTATCAGCACTCTGGTTTATTGAAGGCTCTCCTCCTGTCCAACCTCTGCTCACCACCTTCCTGCCCTCACCTTCACCCACCCTAACTTCTCTGCTCATTGTCTGTACAACATCACTCCCCCCGTGCCTTTTTGGCTTTGATTTCAGTGCTTCCATTTTCTGGAATGCCCTCCTTCCACTTCAGTGATCTCAGTAAAGCATAAGCTTCTTTGGCCCAGGCTCAGCTCGTGTTTTCTCTCTTTGCCTTAACCCTCAATTATGGGTTTTCCCTCAGAAGTCCTGAACACTTTGTTTCTTTGATTCATTTGTGATTTAACATGTACTATCTTGTATATGTATTTCATTGATTCTTAAAAATCGATTCTTAGCCCCCCACCTCCACTTTAACATCTTTTGAGTTGGGATGCATATTACAGGGGATGATGTTGGTTTAATTGGTAGTGCTTTTCTTTCTTAGAGTTAAAAAAATAATGGTGTGTCTCACAATCAGTGGTGTCTTAAACTGGAATACTTTTATGCTCTTATGAGTTTATTTCCTATCTATCCGACCAGACTAGATGCTTTTTGAGTTAAAGACTTGTTTTACGTTTTTTTTTAAACTTAAAAGATGTGCTTTAATTGAACTAGGTTTTTAATGTTTCTTTTCCCTTCCACATAATAATCTACGTCTGTGGATGCTTAGCAACTGTCTGCTGCTGATCCTGGTGAGATCGATGGATTCTCCTCCCTCTCCCACGCCCTCCCGGCTCAGCATGGGGTGGTGAAGGTGGGCACTTCCCACTGAAGCCACAATACCAGAGGAGGCCACATCCCTCTTCACTACAGCTAGGATGGGGCATATCGGTTTATGAAATATGAATGCACAGAAATCACTCTGGACCTTTATTTTTTCCTACAGTCCAGTAGCTTCATTTCTCGCTTGTATCTATTTTGGCTCCCCATCCCCTGCAGCTGGAAAGCTCACCGCTTCTAAGGAACAAAGGGTTCGTTCCATGGGACCTCAGCCACGGCTTTGGAAGTCCTCATCAGCCCTTTCTGTCAGGGAGCAGAGGAGGGGCAGGCCTAGGGCCTCAACAAATTAGGGCCCAGTTAAAAGGAGAGACTCCAGGCAATGCTCATCTTCCCATCTGGTGCTCTAACCTTGACGGCCTCCTTAGAATCTGAAGAGACCAATTCACTGTTCCCCAAACAGTTGGTTGTTAGCAACAAGAGGATTAAGGCCCCCATGCAGGAGGGCTGGCTGCGACGGCTTA